AAAAGGCGGTCAAAATATTGGAGGATCGTAGAGAGAAAAACGCAGTTACCAGTATATTGATCTTATCTGACAATCATGATAAACAGTCGCAGTCCGATCCAACCAATCAGAACCTTCCAGTTGTTTCCACCATGCGCCTGAGCCATTCAGAAATCCCCGTGCACTCATTCGACTTCGGATCGTGCACTCACGCTCCAAACGAGGATGCTTTTTGTAAAATCGTCAACGGTCTGTTAAGCGTGGTGGTTCAAGATGTGAGGCTTCAACTGGGGTTGGAATCTGGGTCAGCCCCAGCCGAGATATCATCGGTCTATTCATTGACGGCCCGACCGGCTGCACTCGGGTTGAGTTCGGTACGGGTTGGGGATTTGCATTCGGGTGAGAAGAGAGAACTACTGGTGGAACTGAAAGTACCCGTATCTTCTTGCGGATCCCATAGAACGATGTCCGTACGATCATCTTACACAGATCCATTCACTCGGGAGTTGGTCTACTCCAGGGGGTGAAAGCTTGGTTTTACCTCGGCTGCCGCACTCCGTTCGATCTTCATCTCCCAGCGTCGCACGGTTGAGGAATCTCCACGTGAGCACGCGCGCTGTGGCGGAGTCTCGTGGATTGATTGAGCACAACGATTTATCAGGGGCTCAGTATTTGCTTACCTCGGCTCGAGCTTTGTTAACGCAATCGGGTTCGAGTTCAGCTGAGGAATTTATTGGGGGATTGGAGTCTGAGTTAGCCGAGTTGAGCCGATGGCGCCAGAAACAAAGGGTTGGGAGCGTGGAGGAAAAGGTTGAGCCGTTAACGCCGACGTCGGCTTGGAGAACGGCAGAGAGATTGGCAAAAATGGCGATTACGAGGAAACATATGAATAGGGTTAGCGATTTGCATGGATTTGAGAATGCCAGATTTTAGTTTTTCTATTTTGTGACAAAAAACAATGGAATTACATAAAAAATAATGAAACCAAAAATAGTGTTTCTTTCCTTGACTTAATGCAATGTGGGCAATGGCATGTTGTTTGAACATAATCTATTTATTTTAGAATAATTAAATGAAGACATGCGAAGGGTAAGCAAGTAAGGACGACGTCTACGCGCTTTCCAAAGGGGAAAGGAAAGCAAGTCAGGTGATGGAGATGGTGAACTGAACCCCCCCCCCCTCGCCTTTTGCTTTTGTTCTCTTTTTTCTTCTTCTTTTTATTAATATGATGTAATGAATGTACACCACAAGTCGAATGTACAGCATGCACTACACCTTCATTTCATTCTTTCCTAGTTTTACGACACTACTTATTTTTTATTTTAATAACAACACCAATAAAATCATATTCTCATATGTAAGTGAGTAAGGAGGAGGTAGGGTAGTAGGTTGTCCCTAACGTCAGGTTAAGAGCAGCTTCTGTGGAAGACCTCCGACAGTCATAAAATTAAAAATGGAGATAAAATGTAATGCATGTATAAAAAATAAATAAATACATAGTTGAACAGTCATATGCAGTCTTTTTATTTTAATAACATTATATATAAACATATGGATTATATTATTTGAATTTATTTAAATTATTTTAAGAAAATTTAGGCAAAGTATCTATTTGGCCATCCACTTATTACTTATTTCCTATTCGGGTCACTCGACTATTACTTTTTAAAAAATTATATCTAATCTTCCATTTTGAATCTATTTTGATCATTTGAGAAATGAAAAATCAAAGCTGAAGTTAATGTGTTAGTATGAGATAATGTCATACTAGTATTGGAAAAGAATAAAAGATATCATGTTAATTTTTTAACAATTAATAACCAAAATTAAAATTAAAATGTAGTGTTATAATTTTAAGAGAATAATAATTAAATCAGTAAAATAAAAATTAAGTAATAAATGAATGACTAAACAAATAATTTATTATATTAATAAAAATGTGTGTACGGTAATTTAGAAATGAGAAGGCAAGGACAAAACTAAGTTGTGGTTAAGACTTGAAGGGGTTGTTGTCCCTCTCAAAATTTATAATATAATGACAGTTTAGGTATTTTTTAGTTTAATTATTAATTAAATAAGATTATTGCTTCTCCTAATTTTTATATTTAAATATTTAACATATCATTTTTTTTTTCTTTAAGTCAATTTATCTTCTCAATTTTTAATCTTAGTTCTGTCCCTGATGGTTGGATGGTTGGGGTGGTGAGTCAAATCAAGAAGTTTAAAGATTTGTAACGTAGCAGCAAAGATGAGATGGGTTTGGGTTCTTTTCTTTATAATGTTTCTAGCTCTGTATATGTCATTTTTCTCTTGGTATAATATTATTTTAGATTTAATTGCACTCAAATTTTAAGCATTTCAATTTGATATAAAACTACGAACCTCATTTTAAATTGATATTTAAACTTTTGAATATTTCAATTTTATCTTCAAATTATTAATATATGCTAATCAAATTTCTTATTAATCAAATTATTTTAAAAAATTGTCAATCATCATGTAAATTATTGATGTATATTATATAATAAGATGGCGTGATTAAACCATATTTAATGTCATATCACATTCTTTAAATCTAACATTAATTATAATTTATATCACATCATATTATTACACAATACACATAAGTACTTACATGATAATTAATATTTTTTAATAATTTTATTTACATGGGATGTGCATTAGCATATGTCGATAGTTGCATGATAAAGTTCAAATGTTTATAAGTTTAAATACTAATTTAAAATAAGAATCATAGTTTAAAGATAATCGAAATATTCAAAAATTAGAGCCCGGAGATGTATGGTGCAATTAAGTCACTTTCCTATCTTCTCCTTTTTGTTACTTGATCCTTTATATTTGTGTGCATTGTCAAGTGAACAGTAAGATATAGAAAACCCTTATATTTGTACAAATAAAACAATACAATTCGGATATTTAATTCGACAAAAAAGAACTTTTACATTAGTGTGAATAAAATAATACAAATCGGGTTAATAATTTGAGCATTATACAAATAAAAGTAGGAGAAATAATTTTGTTTCACTGTGGTTTTTCTTTTCAATTAAATGTTAAAAGGGGGCAATCAATCCAGTAGGTGTTTTGGGGATTGATGTGTGTGTACAATTAATGCAAAAAGAAGCACGTGTCCCGCACTACATAGATTTGACCCTTCATCCATTTTAGACTATTCACATCGGAATTTAAGGAAAGATAGTTTAATTTATGGTTGAGAGGATTAAAAATCATAATATTTTTAGTTGAACGTAGGTTAAAATATTATTTTTTAATATTTTTTTTATTGATTTTTTTTATAATATTTTGGTTAACAACTGAAAATGTTAAAAAATTAATATTTCAATTTACGTCTAATAAAAAATATTATGATTTAAAAAAAAAATCGATCGCATTCATTTCTTGCGGTTAACTTTAAATTATGATGTGGGCAAAACTACCCACTAATCACCACCCAAAATATTTAGTGCTTGCGGTGGTACTAAAGAGAATGTTAATCTAGTTAAATCTTGTGGATCAATTGATTATTTACTTTATTTTATTAATAGACATCCTTTTTAAGATATAATGATTGAATTATTCAAATATTTGTATATTTAACCGCATTGTAATGCATATCCTTGAGTGTGTAATAATTATGATATTATTATGTATGTTATAATAATAATTATTAACGAGAATAAATTTATCTAGTTGATGGTTGATAGTTCACTCTTAATTTGAACAAAAATTATAATAGACAAAGATATAATTATTGTTTGATGTTTTTCCATGATATAAATGAAGGCATAATAAAGGATATATGTGTAAAGGAGAAGAGAAAGTAGGTTGTTCCCTCAATTATGGGTAAGGGTATATATAGTGACTTTAAAGGGTAGTGTCGGACATAGAGTTATTGTAGCTACTCGTAGGTTGATAGGATAAATAGATCTGGTGATTAGAATATTGGATTTCACCCTGATAGATCACATGAGTCTATTAGATTGGGTTTAAAGTCCATCTTCGAAAATATAACAATATTAATACTAAATAAATTAAAATTTAATTTTTATTAATAAAATTTTTAAAGATATACATTAATAAAAAAACGTTTTAGATGCATAAAGATACAAATAAAATAATCAATTATTGTATTTAATATAATATTATTTTCATAATACTATACTAGTTAAAAATAAATTGAAAATACTCATGTATATACCAAATATAATCATATATTATAGTCATAAGAGAAGGAAAGTGGGATGCACACTGGAATTGGCCATAATCATGTCCGCTTCCTACGGACTGAAGCACACAATGACACCTCAACCATTTAAACGAATATTTGTTCTTTTTATTTTATTTTTTTCAGGTAAAGGAATAATATTTGGGCGTTTTTCAATTATTCTCCTAGCTGTCATTAATAATAAACAAATAAGGATAAACGGCTCTCGTTATCACCCCCCCCCCAAGCAGGCCGTTTTTCTTCAACACCATTATTAAATCAATCAATTCAAATCCATTTTTTTGTTGTAAAATATTTTAAATATGGTTCATATTGTTTAAATATTTTAAACTTGAACCTCCATAACTTATTTATGAATACCTTGAAACTTCATTTTTATTTAAAAATTATGATCAAACTACAGTTAAAATGGCTAATTTTAACACTTTCGGTTCTTGGTAGAAAACATTGAGTTCCTAAATCATTTTGTAATAGAAAGTTGTTGAAAAAGATTTCAAAGACAAACTTCAAAGTGTCCCAATTTAACATTTAAGTTCTTGGTAGAAATAAATTTTATTTTTGAAATCAATTCGTGGATAGAAATGAAATAAATTTTATTTCGTCGGAGAGAAGTTATAGTAATGAACATTCTCTATGGAATTTGATTTCGAAGCTAGGAGTCCCACAGAAAATTTGTGTTTTTCTTTGGTTATTATTCCATGATCGACTTATTACTAATGTAGAACGATCTCGTCGACACTTTTCTAGCCTAGTGGATTGTCATATTTGTGGGGTTGTTATGGAGGATGCTGATCATATTCTGCGTCATTGCAGTATGGCTAGGAATATGTGGGTAAGGGTTATCCAAACTGAGAAGCTTAATGAGTTATTGACTCTTCCTTACAAGATTTGGATTGAACGCAACTTATGGGCTGCTGAAGTATATGCACAAATGAATGATGATTGAGATATTCGCTTCTCAGTTTACTGTTGCCACCTTTGGAAACGGAAATATAGTATTTTCTTTGATCCTAGATATGTTGAAAGAGAGGAGTTCATTTCTTGTTGCGATCATTTTGTTGATGATGTTGTGAATGCTAATGTTAGCAACACAAATTCTAGTCCTTCAATGTCTACAAGTATCCTGTCTTGGACTCGACCTCCCACCGGTTGGATTAAGGGAAACTCGGATGGGGCTGTTAGAACGTGTGACAATATGGCGGCTGCAGGAGGTATTTTGCGCAACTCTAAGGGAGAATGTATTTTTGGTTTCACGCGTAGTCTAGGACGTTGTTCGATTCTTACAGCTGAGCTGCGGGGTGTTCATGATCTCTTGTTGCATGCTTGGAGATTAGGAATCCGATATATTAAACTGGAAACCAATAATCTCGAGGTTGAAAATATGCAGTTTTTCATCGGATGCGCTTGTGGGGAATGCTTTGGTCTCTAAGATCCATGAACTGCTTGAACTTGAGTGGGTCACAAATGTATCACATATATGTGTCACAATCCAAAAGGTCAATCGGCATCAATACGAATATTAGAGAAAAACGAACCAAAATGACGTAACCATTATAGAAACTTAGAAATAACAAGAAAAAAAAAATCATATTTTGTTAACCTCATGCAACAAAGAATCATAGCATTTCATTTGTAATTTATAATTTATTTACTTTTATCAAATCAAACGGTTCTCCTCCTCATCCTATCTTTACAATAGATATCCTTATATACAAACTATTTAACTACCCAGCAAATAAATATTAAAAGAGGATTATCGATTTATTACCAGCATGGATGTTGGAACGCATTTCTATTTACACGCAAGTCCAGCAAATACTACACCACTGTTGCACAGCATTGCCAGCATCTCACCACAAACAATTTCTAATTCTACACATTTTTGATTCAGTCCAAAGGAATCAGTTTTTTAGTACAACCCCATTCGCATATTAGGGTACATATATCAGAAATTCAGCTGTCTGCACCGTGCTGCATCAACATCGGATGGGCAATACGGGCACTTGAAAGCTTTTGATCCATTCTTTGACATCTTGTTGATAGATTGCTTGCAGAGCACATGACCACACGACATCAGCATCGGTGGGTTATCATCGGTCGATTGCTCCTTAGACACAGGGCACACAAATATAGAATGGAATTGAAACTCTTTACCTAATTCCACTGGAACAGGCAGCTGCTTCATTGATAGCCATTCTTGCTTCTTCCCAGCCATAACTGTCATAAACTTTAGAAGAGGTGGCAGCCCTTGGACCCCTGCTGCTATTGTCACACTCAGTGGACTCTCATATGATTGCCCCAGTAGTTTGCAGAACTGTCTGGTGAGCTCCTCAGCCATTATATCCCAATTGGTGGGCGACAATAAATGAGCATATGGGGACTCGCTAAGTCTATCGGAATACAAGAGACACCCCATGAGTTTCTGGATTTCAGCCATATGGTTTCCAGCAAAAGGAACAAAGTTGGTTCTTGCGTACTTGAGCGCTTCATCTCTGCTACCCTTTTGTAATATTTGCACAAACTGTAACTGATGGAGTCCAAGCAGAAGGTCTGAGCCATTTTCTTTTAGTTTATCTGAGTTTTCGGCTGCCCATTTCAGGGCGGGCTCTAGGTTCCTACTCTTCATGGCTTCAAGTATTTGATACATTTCTTGAAAAAGTGATCTTGTAGCAGCAGCAGCTTCTGCTTCCCCAGCCTCAGTTATAAAACAATCACCGACATCAAACAGGCCCTGCCTATAGAAATGGCTGGTAATTATTTGATTAACTATACGGGAATCAAACTCAATATTTCGATAAGCTTTGGATATATCAGGATTAAGGGCTTTCTCAAGAGCTTTTGGATACTTGCTCAATGCTATGTTGAGTTCCTTCTGTGTGCCTTCAAGCTGACCGAGTGGAGCAATTTCATGCAGTTTTTTCTTCAGTTCAGCAAGTATGGATTTATGATCAAGGGTCGTTGGTTGCATCATCTCTATTGCCTTCTCGATTTCTTGCACAATCTGATCCATAACTTCATGAGATTTAGAGCAGAATAGCTTTTGCTTCTTTGCAACGCGATCAAATGCATCTTTCAGGCTATTCAACTCCATTTTTAATCCTGTTCACTGTATCAATCGTTATATTAGAATATTTTGCCACAGAAGCACCTGCAAAGAAAGCAATAAAGAATCCCTATCAGTTAATATTTAATTTCAAAGAGTTTATATGTGGCACCACACACACAAAACATGTACCAAAACCCCAGATCTGCAGCCAATATAGTTAATGGTTGGAAGCAGGTGAAATATAGCAATAGTCCATTCAATTTAAACCCATGGTTGCAGTATATCATATTAGAGAAAGCATGATGAAAACAAATTGGCAAACAAGACCTGATATACCAACTTTATAGCTTCAAGGCTGATATTGACCACGTACTTAATTGACGTTTAGTTTTAAATAAGATGGAAGAAGTGGGAAGCTTGATAACAATAGAACTGTCTGCTGCATACCCTTAAGCAGTTTTTAGTTTATTAATTTAAACTTCTTTTTTCCAAGAAATCAGGAACATAGGTTTAACACAGAAATTTCATGTGCCAACAAAGTGATTAAATCATTCTAGATGGCTGCACAAGCAGGCCACCACATCTTGGTTTCCAAATGAACATGAAGAGAAATAAAATATTACCAAACACGCTGGATGTCCTGTGCTCAAACCTAGGGAAAATTCTGTTAAACATAAAATAAGACACAAAATATCACAGGATTGAACAAGTAAACATAGAAGTTAAAAATGCGAGTACAAAATAGAAGATGGAAGCTTGCGGAGATTGTGTACAAACAGAAGAACACATTTAAGGCGGATTGGAAATGTAAAGATCTAAAAATACCCCAGAGAGAAGATGTGATCCAGAAAAAGATGCCAATGTCAAGGTATGGGAAGAAACAAGGATGCGGATAGCAACTACAAAAAAAGAACTAAACTGTTAGTAGTCTTACTGAGTCTGAGACCATAGTTTTGGATAAGAATGGCATAACCATGAAATATATTCTATATGAACGCTTTTGATATTTAAAGGAAGTCATAAGCTAGGAACGGGACATGATTAATATGAGTCTCAGATAAACAAATTAATATCCACTAAAAGATAGATAAAAGTTTTGCATCGGATAAAAGATAAAAAAAAAACACACAAATCTTATAATAGTGTAAATTACAACTCAACATCAACAACCAGTTTCAAGTTGACATTTGGATATAATTCGTGAGAAAGAATAAAAACTTTTCAAGTAAAAAATTATGCCAAAGAAAAAGAAAATGCCAATCATAATACAAATAGATTAATATCAAATTACCCTTCTCAAGCTTCGGTGAGTATATTGAAAGTTGAAATGATCCCTGCAACAAAATGAATAATTAAAATCCAGTGTGCAGATCAATATGAAAATTGAAAGATGCGTGTCATTCAAATGCGAGATTTGCAGGAACAAATTTAACCTCAGAATATAAGATGTATAAGCTAGAAAGGTCAATTACTATCTTAATCGTATTAATATCGGAAAAAATAACATCAAAGAGATTACACCTTAATTAAATTAACATTTCAATCAAACGAATAAACAATTAAGACGCCATTAAGAATTGCAAATCAATTGCTGAAACTAAAGCGCCAGAAATCAAAAGCAAAGAAAACGGGAAATCCAAGACAATTCCATACACGTAAACCAGATTGAAGATAGATGAAGAGAAAATAAGACTAAGATTAAAAAGAAATCAAATCATTTAATTTTAATAAATAAAACTTGAATATAGATAACTAATAAAATGAAAGGGAAGAGCGTACGGATCTGCGGTGTTGCGTGATAGCGAGGACGAAATCTCGGTGGGAGTAGGGAAGAAGAAGAGAAGAAGGGGATGATTGGAGGATGAAATGACCAGAAAGGGGATGGCGAAATGAGGTAATTCCTATTTTATACTCGTTTAAGGATACGAGGGTATTTAAGAAATTTGGGATTTCTGAAATAGATCAAGGAATCCTGGCCGCTGATGATGTTGTGTCTTTATGGGCCGATGTATAGACATTAATCATAGTTATTTGATTTATTAGGCTTAATACAATTTTAGCCCTGTACTATAGTGACAATTTAACGTTGACCCTTTTATTATATTTTTATCAGTTTGGCTCTATATTTTAACTACGTCTTTCACTTTAGCCCTTGACCATAAAAAATTGGTGTGATCCATTGAGAGGTTGTCATGTATTAGTATTAAAAATAATTAAAAATAACACAAAATATAAGAAAAAATTACGAAAATTTAGAAGTATTTTGGTTCTAGAAAATATATGCTATTTTTTTTTTATTTTCTAAGAAAATAGAAAATGTTAAAGAAAACATGTTTGATTGTAAATTTAGAAAATGATTTTTGGAAAACAAAAATAACTGAAAATATAAAAGCATTAAAATATGTTTTTGTTATGAAATAATCTAAACGAAGCAATAAGAACATGAAGAAGAAGAAATTTAAGAATAAAGGGTGAGAACAATATTATTATCTCAATCTGAGTTTTATACAATGTTTTCTTTGAACTCCATATTTATAAGAATAAAAAGTAGATATCACATAAAACTCTAACTCTCACGGATATTAAAGTCCTAATAATAAAGTATATTAAAACACTATCTTATAGATAGAGATAGAGATAGAGATAATGATAGACATCCACATAAATGAATATTCATAACACTCTCCCTTGGATGTCTATGAAGATAATGTGCCTCGTTAAAACCTTACTATGATAAAAACCCTTTGGAAAAAATCTTAATGAAGGAAAAGAGTACATATATTTTTAAGAGAAAATAACCTCAGTGACCAAAAATGCTTTATAATATACGATTTTAACCAACTTTTTTTGGATTTGCCAAAATGACCAACTAAATCGCAATGCGATCGATAATTCGCAACGCGATCTTCGGTATCGCAAATTAGTTTTCAGATTCGCAACGCGAACTTCGACTATCGCATTGCGATTTACATATTCGCATTGCGATAGTCCAAGTTCGCGTTGCGTTTTATTCCAAGTTCGTTGCGATAGTCGAAGTTCGCGTTGCGATTTATTCCAAGTTCGTTGCGATTTATTCCAAATTCGTTGCGATAGTCCAAAATCGCAACGACGATATTGCATTTGTTTCTTAAGAATTTTCTCTAAAAAGATAGTATTCGCGCGGACGTGTCGAAGACACGTATTACCACGACCACGACCACGACCACGACCCCGACCCGAGACGAGACAGACGGCGGCGGCGGCGACGCGCGAGAGTCCCCCTTATTCTCTATCACTCAACAAGGAAGTGGGAAAGCCAAGCCTTAAATACCATTCTCAATAGTGTTTCCAATACTATGTGGGATTGAGCATTACCAACACTTGTTCCCAATACTATGTGGGATTGAGCCTTAAATAGTGATATTATTTTTGAATGTTTTGCTTAAAATTGTAATAATCGCGATTGATTGTAGATTGTCATTTAATTATGACATATTTAATCGTATAATACTAATGCAATTGGTTGTTGATTCAGTTGTTTTAAGGTGCATGATTGTTAATTGTTTCCTAAATAATCACATTGTATTGGAAACAAGTGTTGGTAATGCTCAATCCCACATAGTATTGGAAACACTATTGGGAATGGTATTTAAGGCTTGGCTTTCCCACTTCCTTGTTGAGTGATAGAGAACAAGGGGGACTCTCGCGCGCCGCCGCCGCCGCCGTCTCGTCTCGGGTCGGGTCGTGTCATGGTAGTGGTCATGGTTGTGGTAATACGTGTCTTTGACACGTCCGCGCGAATACTATCTTTTTAGAGAAAATTCTTAAGAAACAAATGCAATACCACCAGTCGTTGCGATTTTGGACTATCGCAATGCGAACTTGGACTATCGCAATGCGAACTTGGACTATCGCAATGAGAACTTCGACTATCGCAATGCGAACTTGGACTATCGCAATGCGAATATGTAAATCGCATTGCGATAGTCCAAGTTCACATTGCGATAGTCCAAGTTCGCATTGCGATAGTCCAAGTTCGTATTACAATAGTCGACTATCGCATTGCGATTTACATATTCGCATTGCGATAGTCCAAGTTCGTATTGCGATAGTCCAAGTTCGCATTGCGATAGTCAAAGTTCGCGTTGCGAATCTGGAAACTGATTTGCGATACCGGAGATCGCGTTGCGAATTATCGATCGCATTGCGATTTAGTTGGTCATTTTGGCAAATCCAAAAAAAGTTGGTTAAAATCGTATATTATAAGGCATTTTTGGTCAATGAGGTTATTTTCTCTATTTTTAATACGTATAACAAGTTGCCTCGTTAAAAACTTTATCAGGAAAACCCAGTTGGACAAAACCTTGGTTAAGGAAATATAGTACAACACGTATTTACTCCCCCTCAAGATAATATCTGTAACACCCTATTCCCGTATACGTTTCCGCATACAAGTCCAGGATGTCATGTAGAATTTACAAAATAATCCTTTTTCTAAAACCAGCAAAATTTTATTTTTTCTAAAATATTTCAATTATTATCTAAGGTCTTAAAATATTTCATTTCGATAGCATTAAAAAACATTTAAATGAAAATATTAATCAGCTAATCTAAATTTTTAAACAACAATAATAAACACTACCTATCGAAACCAAATTCAAATATAATTATTTTTAAGTATCATAACCATCTAGTATACATGCCAACTAGTATAATCATCATTTCAAAAGATGTCATACTTAATCTGGAGCAGATCTGATCTTCAAAAGTTGATGATGGCCCTTGTTCCTTACTCCGGTCGCTTACTTTTACCTACGTGTGAAAAATCATCACACACTAAGCATACACTTAGTGAGACAATAAGTTCTAATAATAATAATAAATAGAGTAAAATAAGTAATAATATATTTATCAAAATATCATATAAATAAAATATAAGTGTCATAAGAAAGATTGACCTAAACTAATTTGACTTATCAAAGTCAATATCATATAAAATAACTTGTAAACAAGCAATCCATATATATATATATATATATAAGGCTTTCAATGCCAAATCAAAGTTTTTAGTAAAAACTTTGTTCCAAACCAAGTAGATGAAACCTGTACTTTTCCATCTCACTTCAATTCTTGTACTTTTCATTCCATTTCAAACCTTTGTCTTTCACTTTTATTCATTTCATAGCCCAATGTAAATCAATGAGAATGCAAGATATGTGAGTCAATCGAGCATACACTATAATGCACAAGTACTGTAGAACACAATATCAATATGCCACTTTAAGGAATACACGCACTATTATCATTTATGTGCAGGCACCATCGTCACTTAGATGTCAAAATTGTGCCATAAAATGTATTCCCGGTACATTAGCATCACTGTCACTCAGATGTCACTGATGTGCTAAGTACCTACGCACCACCGTCACACAGACGTCACTGATGTGCGCAGAATCACATAGTAGTACCACCGTCATACAAATATCACTGATGTGCTTTAATCACGATGCAGTTGTAAATGGCACCACTGCCACATTTGTGATGTCATTAATGTGCCAAATCATAATTGATGCTCTAACTCTATGGCATGCCAATTAGACCTATAACTCTCAATGCATTTACAATAGGCATTTCCATCATTTCACTTATCAAATCTCTTTACCATAATCAATAAAAGCAATATCATTTAATAATATGAAATACAGTGGGCAGTTCATACCCAAAATCATTCAAAGAAATCATTTAACAAAATAATGTAAAATATATATAATAAAACGATTTGAAAACAATTTCTTTCCAAATTATTCGAGGTTGACTCATCGCAAGTCTTCCTTATTCCATACTTTAAAAGCATAAGTAAGATGCACTCACCTGGTAATGCCTCTATAATACCCCAAATACCAGGTCAGTGCCTTTATTGGAAAGATTTTAAATTTGAGGATTTATTAGAATAAATGATAAAAAGAAATGAATGATTGGGAATAATGTTTAAGACCAATTAGAAACAATGGATGAATAAAGAGGACATTTTGGTCTTTAAAGGGGAAATGAATTTAAAATTTATTTTTATTAAGGTATTAAAGTATAGGAAAAAAAGAAGAAAGTGAAAAACACTAAGTTATCTTCTTTCATTCTTTCCCGTGAAAGAGCTCTCCTCCATAGCCAAAGGTAAGGTTTCATTTGGCTAGCTTTTCCTTTCGTTTTTGGTTGGTTTTTAAAACATTGAGTATTATAGAGACTTAAGGAAGGGTTAATCTAAGAGATGGATGAATTATTTGAGATTAAAGAAAATGAGTTTTTGAATGATATGTTGGAATATGAGTTTTTACTGATGTTTATTAATATATTTGACTTGTCAAAGAAGTAAATAAGAGATTAGAAACTTTAGGTATGATTAAAAACATGTTAGAAAAAGTGGTATGATTCTTGGTTTGAGATGTTCTTAGGAGATTTTAGATGTTATAAGGAGCTAAATGAAGAGAAGTTAGTTAGAATAAGTAAAGAAGAGTTTAATAGTATTATTAGGGGTAAACATAAGGAAATTTGACCAAATTTGGGTAAGAATCGAGCTGAAAAATGGAAAATATGGGTAAGAGTATCAGTACTGTAAGAACAATATCGATACTATAGGTTTAAATTTAGGGAAATCAAATGAATGATATCGATACTGAAAAGGAGTATCAATACCATAGTATAGAAGTATCGGTACTAGAAGAAATGTATCAATACCATGGATCCAGAATGTAGAAATGGTATTGTGAACACACTATTTCGTCCCATTCTCATATCACATTTTTATAATATATGTATATATTTATGTTTATTTAACATATATATATATATATATATATATATATATATTATTTTATTACACTTGCAGATCCATTACA